TAAGGTAGGTTACATGGAGTTAATTAGGTAGTGCTTAGTCTTACTCTTAAACTGGTTGAGAGAGGGACAGTCTTTAACATGGTTGGGAAGGTCATTCCACATTCTGGGTCCCTTGATTTGTAGAGCATTTCTAGTTTGATTAAGTCGCACTCTTGGAATATCAAATAGGCATTTGTTTCAGGTGTGGTGCTCATGGGTTCTGTTACAACCTTCTAGGAAGCTTATAAGGTCAGGATTGACATTACAGCTCAGGGCTTTAAATATATAGAGTACACAAGAGAGAATGTGCAGTGACTTAATATCTAACATTCAGAGATTTGAGTCGGGGTACCGAGTGATGTCTGGGGCCAGAGTTGGATATTATCTTAATAGCAGCTTTGTGTTGAGTAATTAGAGGACGTAAATGATTTTGGGTAGTAGAACCCCAAGCACAAATACCATAGTTGAGATAAGGATAGATGAGGGAGTAATAGTCACCAGGGCATGGCGGGGTTTATTTGTTTATCATAGTTTACCATAGATCAAAATAGAATGGTAAATACAAAATAGTCAACACTAACATGTTACAAGTAACAGCTATGACGTCAATGGATATTAAGAGGAATGGAGAATAGAGCTGAGGGAAGAGCACTAATGATGGCTACGAACACCGGCCAGGTACTGACCCGCCCTCAGGCCCTGCTAGGGGGGCCTCACACGTGCAATAATAAACACCTTCAATAATCTATAGTGAATATCAAGTGTCGCAAATTATGGCTTCGTCATCTCTCAAACATTCTCAGGTTTAGCTGCTAATGAAGGGCAAGGGTGAGGTGAAGGAGGGAAGGAAGGGGAGGAAAGGAAAGGAAAGGAAAAGGCAGGAAGACAGGAAGGGTGTGGCCAAGAGTGCGAGCCCCGCCCTCTCTTGTGTGATGTGGTCGTCCATGACTGTGATCGCCACCAAAGATCTCCAAGGGCGCCATACTGAGCTTGGACACGGCTGGAGACCTTTGTCAAGGTCCACAATGGTGCTCCACACCTCTCACACAGGGGAGGGGGGCGGGGCTGTTCCATGCTGCACAGTGTGTCGCACACCACGCAGCATGATCAGCGACGCACACCATGCTGTATCGCGCACACAACCAACCACAACAGTAGCATCAATCTCTCCCCCCTCACTCTGCAGCCAATTCGGACTATGTTATGCGTCAAATTTGTAGTGGTTTACCCGCTAACAAGTAGGGTAGGAACGTGTGGGCAACCCCACCTTACCTACCGACGCCAGTGAGCCTTAGTCCGGAGAGCGCCTCATTTTTACCGTGAATTGAATATCAATCACAGGTTGCTGTCTTACCCACTGACCCGTCCACCACCCTTCCTATGCCCACCCTATGTCACACCTTACCTTCCACACCCTATGTCACACCTTACCTTCCACACCCTATGTCACACCTTACCTTCCACACCCTATGTCACACCTTACCTTCCACACCCTATGTCACACCTTACCTTCCACACCCTATGTCACACCTTACCTTCCACACCCTATGGCACACCTTACCTACCACACCCTATGTCACACCTTACCTTCCACACCCTATGTCACACCTTACCTTCCACACCCTATGTCACACCCTACCTTCCACACCCTATGTCACACCTTACCTACCACACCCTATGTCACACCTTACCTACCACACCCTATGTCACACCTTACCTTCCACACCCTATGTCACACCTTACCTTCCACACCCTATGTCACACCTTACCTTCCACACCCTATGTCACACCTTACCTACCACACCCTATGTCACACCTTACCTTCCACACCGTCACACCTTACCTTCCACACCCTATGTCACACCTTACCTACCACACCCTATGTCACACCTTACCTACCACACCCTATGTCACACCTTACCTTCCACACCCTATGTCACACCTTACCTTCCACACCCTATGTCACACCTTACCTTCCACACCCTATGTCACACCTTACCTTCCACACCCTATGTCACACCTTACCTTCCACACCCTATGTCACACCTTACCTACCACACCCTATATCACACCTTACCTTCCACACCCTATGTCACACCTTACCTACCACACCCTATGTCACACCTTACCTTCCACACCCTATGTCACACCTTACCTTCCACACCCTATGCCCACCCTATGTCACACCTTACCTTCCACACCCTATGTCACACCTTGCCTTCCACACCCTATGTCACACCTTACCTACCACACCCTATGTCACACCTTACCTACCACACCCTATGTCACACCTTACCTTCCACACCCTATGTCACACCTTACCTACCACACCCTATGTCACACCTTACCTTCCATACCCTATGTCACACCTTACCTTCCACACCCTATGGCCACCCTACCTTCCACACCCTATGTCACACCCTACCTTCCACACCCTATGTCACACCTTACCTTCCACACCCTATGCCCACCCTACCTTCCACACCCTATGCCCACCCTACCTTCCACACCCTATGCCCACCCTACCTTCCACACCCTATGCCCACCCTACCTTCCACACCCTATGCCCACCCTACCTTCCACACCCTATGCCCACCCTACCTTCCACACCCTATGCCCACCCTACCTTCCACACCCTATGCCCACCCTACCTTCCACACCCTATGCCCACCCTACCTTCCACACCCTATGCCCACCCTACCTTCCACACCCTATGCCCACCCTACCTTCCACACCCTATGTCCACCCTACCTTCCACACCCTATGTCACACCTTACCTACCACACCCTATGTCACACCTTACCTTCCACACCCTATGCCCACCCTACCTTCCACACCCTACGGCCACCCTACCTTCCACACCCTACGTCCACCCTACCTTCCACACCCTATGTCACACCTTACCTTCCACACCCTATGTCACACCTTACCTTCCACACCCTATGTCACACCTTACCTTCCACACCCTATGGCCACCCTACCTTCCACACCCTATGTCACACCCTACCTTCCACACCCTATGTCACACCTTACCTTCCACACCCTATGCCCACCCTACCTTCCACACCCTATGTCACACCCTACCTTCCACACCCTATGTCACACCTTACCTTCCACACCCTATGTCACACCCTACCTTCCACACCCTATGCCCACCCTACCTTCCACACCCTATGTCACACCCTACCTTCCACACCCTATGTCACACCCTACCTTCCACACCCTATGTCACACCCTACCTTCCACACCCTATGTCACACCTTACCTTCCACACCCTATGTCACACCTTACCTTCCACACCCTATGTCACACCTTACCTTCCACACCCTATGTCACACCCTACCTTCCACACCCTATGCCCACCCTACCTTCCACACCCTATGCCCACCCAACCGTCCACACCCTATGCCCACCCTACCTTCCACACCCTATGCCCACCCTACCTTCCACACCCTATGCCCACCCTACCTTCCACACCCTATGCCCACCCTACCTTCCACACCCTATGCCCACCCTACCTTCCACACCCTATGCCCACCCTACCTTCCACACCCTATGCCCACCCTACCTTCCACACCCTATGCCCACCCTACCTTCCACACCCTATGCTCACCCTACCTTCCACACCCTATGCCCACCCTACCTTCCACACCCTATGGCCACCCTACCTTCCACACCCTATGTCACACCCTACCTTCCACACCCTATGTCACACCTTACCTTCCACACCCTATGCCCACCCTACCTTCCACACCCTATGTCACACCCTACCTTCCACACCCTATGGCCACCCTACCTTCCACACCCTATGTCACACCCTACCTTCCACACCCTATGTCACACCTTACCTTCCACACCCTATGCCCACCCTACCTTCCACACCCTATGTCACACCCTACCTTCCACACCCTATGTCACACCTTACCTTCCACACCCTATGTCACACCCTACCTTCCACACCCTATGTCACACCCTACCTTCCACACCCTATGTCACACCCTACCTTCCACACCCTATGGCCACCCTACCTTCCACACCCTATGGCCACCCTACCTTCCACACCCTATGCCCACCCTACGTTCCACACCCTATGCCCACCCTACGTTCCACACCCTATGCCCACCCTACGTTCCACACCCTACCTACCCTACGCCCACCCTCAACTTCCTCCCAAAGCTCCCAATAGGCCAGTAAGTGAGCCGTAATACCAGGTTTACCCAACTCCTCCCTCAACCCTCACCTTACAACACCCTCGCCGAGATATCAGCACCAAGAAGACAGACTGAGGGAGCCAGCACGGGGCGTCTCAAGAAAGGGATGGGGTCCCAAGTCAAGCACATTACATGTGACTGTAAACAGTGATCGCGTTCAGTCAACAAACTAGGAGAACCCATGATGATTGGCTTCATCATGAATACAATGAGGCTTCATCGAGAATACAATGAGACGTCTCATGCTGGCCACTTACTACGGTATATAACAGGTCTCTGGAAACATGAGAACTACCACGGAGTAAAAAACGGAACAAAGGAAAAAAACCTGGAGTAATACCTGGAGGCCACGACATGGTAAAACAATGGCAACCGGGAATCCCACCGACTTCACGCGGATTTGTTCATTTGATGCATCACTCTATTGTGATCTTTGTGTGTATGTATATATACATTTCCTTTTGTCCTCCATGGTCAGGGTTAGAGATGTTAGACAACGTGTGGAGTTACTGAGCACTACCACAGAAGCTGACTGTAGCGATTTTATAATGGTAACCAACATACATATCCAATATACATAACATACATGACCAACATACATCCTCGTCTGTTTTACATATACAGGGTTAGAAGAGACGTGTTCTACATATAGTGCAGTGAGTTATAGTCTAGAGAGAGGCACCTGTATAACACATCAGCATGGTGTCATAATATGTCCTGCATTACTAACTTGATTAGAGATCTAGAACCAGGTAAGGGATATTCAACATGACAAAAGGACGGAGTGATTGTCCATGTGTTGACCGCCAGAAAGCCTTCGACAGCACCCTCCCAAGAGACCAGGCAGTACGCAAAATGGATAATCAGGCAGGAGTTGTACCAGTGGATAATGGATTATCTAAGCCACGGACCTCGGAGCCCCCCAGTAAGAAGAGACTTTAGAGTGGTGGGATGGTACCACCAGCATCACATACCCATCACTAAATTGGCTCACTAAAGCTAATTTAATTCATAATCTATATGAATGACTTAGGACTTATAGTCCATCCTTTCAATGTTTGCTGATGGTGTGAAAATTACGAGGAAAGATAAATACAGTACAATGGAAGTTTGGGAAAACTATATTATCACTTGGCAAAGCGAAAGAATGGTCCAACAAGTAGCTAATAAAGTTTAATAAAGTGGAGTTTACGTAAATCAAGTACAGATGACCGATACTGGGAAGAGGCCGGACACACAGGGCAGATTAAATCCTGGAATCGGGCAGGAAAAACGCACATGGGCGGCACACGCAGGCCAGCATGGCCAGCATGGCCAACATGGCCAGCATGGCCAGCATGGCCAGCATGGCCAGCATGGCCAGCATGGCCAACATGGCCAGCATGGCCAACATGGCCAACATGGCCAACATGGCCAACATGGCCAGCATGGCCAACATGGCCAGCATGGCCAACATGGCCAGCATGGCCAACATGGCCAGCATGGCCAACATGGCCAGCATGGCCAACATGGCCAGCATGGCCAGCATGGCCAACATGGCCAGCATGGCCAGCATGGCCAACATGGCCAGCATGGCCAACATGGCCAGCATGGCCAACATGGCCAGCATGGCCAACATGGCCAGCATGGCCAACATGGCCAGCATGGCCAACATGGCCAGCATGGCCAACATGGCCAGCATGGCCAACATGGCCAACATGGCCAACATGGCCAACATGGCCAGCATGGCCAACATGGCCAGCATGGCCAACATGGCCAGCATGGCCAACATGGCCAACATGGCCAGCATGGCCAACATGGCCAGCATGGCCAGCATGGCCAACATGGCCAGCATGGCCAGCATGGCCAACATGGCCAACATAACCGCCTTTACCAATCCGAACAGTCATAGAGAACCTTGTATACCACTTATTTGAGATCAGTTCTGGAATATGCAGCATCAGCATGAGTGTCACTTAACACAACACGAGGCTGGGAAAAGTTCAACTGTATGCGACAAGTTGGTCCCGGGCTGAGAGGTATGAGTTACGAGGACAGACTAAAGAAGTTACACCTCACGACACTAGAAGAGACGAGCCATGAGCACCACATACAAAATCTTAGAACCACACACAGGACAGAGAAGTTTATACAAATTAAGACTGATAATACACGAACGAGGGAACACAACCCAAGCACCTAGTTGAGCCCCAGAGATAAGAGACAACTTTTCAATTATTAGGATAAATTAACACATGGAACGTCTTAAGAAGTGAAGTGGTGGAGATAGACTTTAAACACCGCTAGATAAGACAGAGCCCGTTGAGCTTTGGACACAGCCTCGCTCCTGTGCCAGGTAGTACACTACGGGCTCACCATAGCCCGTGCTACTTGCCCCGCTCCTGTGCCAGGTAGGTCCACTACGGGCTCACCATAGCCCGTGCTACTTGCCCCGCTCCTGTGCCAGGTAGGTCCACTACGGGCTCACCATAGCCCGTGCTACTTGCCCCGCTCCTGTGCCAGGTAGTCCACTACGGGCTCACCATAGCCCGTGCTACTTGCCCAGCTCCTGTGCCAGGTAAGTCCACTACGGGCTCACCATAGCCCGGGCTACTTGCCCCGCTCCTGTGCCAGGTAGTCCACTACGGGCTCACCATAGCCCGTGCTACTTGCCCCGCTCCTGTGCCAGGTAGTCCACTACGGGCTCACCATAGCCCGTGCTACTTGCCCCGCTCTTGTGCCAGGTAAGTCCACTACGGGCTCACCATAGCCCGTGCTACTTGCCCCGCTCCTGTGCCAGGTAGGTCCACTACGGGCTCACCATAGCCCGTGCTACTTGCCCCGCTCCTGTGCCAGGTAGGTCCACTACGGGCTCACCATAGCCCGTGCTACTTGCCCCGCTCCTGTGCCAGGTAGGTCCACTACGGGCTCACCATAGCCCGTGCTACTTGCCCCGCTCCTGTGCCAGGTAGTCCACTACGGGCTCACCATAGCCCGTGCTACTTGCCCCGCTCCTGTGCCAGGTAAGTCCACTACGGGCTCACCATAGCCCGTGCAACTTACCCCGCTCCTGTGCCAGGTAGTCCACTACGGGCTCACCATAGCCCGTGCTACTTGCCCCGCTCCTGTGCCAGGTAGTCCACTACGGGCACACCATAGCCCGTGCTACTTGCCCCGCTCCTGTGCCAGGTAGTCCACTACGGGCTCACCATAGCCCGTGCTACTTGCCCCGCTCCTGTGCCAGGTAAGTCCACTACGGGCTCACCATAGCCCGTGCTACTTGCCCCGCTCCTGTGCCAGGTAGTCCACTACGGGCACACCATAGCCCGTG